GTGAAAAAGAATGTTTCACCTGAATGGTTGCTCAGGGCTCCTTTGAAGTTCTTTCCTTAAATTGTCTTGAAATCTGTACACATTTCAAAGCCAACAGACCGCTGAAGGGTTTGTATTAACAGCTGTGCTTGTTCATCAAGCTAAGCATCATAAGAAATTTTTCCTTTTTTCAAAAGAAGAAGCAAGTAAACAAACAAAACCAAACACACAACGAAAAAAACAGAACAAAAAGCACCTAGGAGCAGTCATGAAGAGAAATTCTCATTCTTAATTTCCAGAGCCATTTATATATACATTATCTATGACAAACAAAATCAGTGCATAATTGTCCATACCCAGATAAATAATATAAATTTGCTTTCAAGTAAAATTGATAGTTAACTTATTCTTTTGGAAAAAGTGTATTTTCAGAAGTTGTTGCTGCCTTAAAATAAAACATCACTATGTTCTCCAGTCTTATCAAGAAAAGGAAAGGAAAATAATCAAGGTGAATTTCTGAAAAGCACGTCAGTTGATTTTTTGTTACTCTCATGTATTTTGTAGAATTTTACTGATTATGGAAGAGTTTCCTACAGAGCTCTTACAGCAAGCAAGATGAAGTCCTTTTGTCCACTTTTGACTGAATTTTCAATGTTTATTTAAATGAGTTTTTGGAAAAATCTTCCAGAGAAGGCAACAGGAAAAGCACTGTCAAAATTTATTACCTTGAGGAATTCTGATGACAATTTAGGAAGGTATCCCATATACCAGAAAAGCTTAGTTAAACTGAAGTTAAGGTTGAAACAGGCATAGAACTTTATTGGAAAAAGTTTTAACAGAACACCATTAGTTAGACTATATGCAAACTACTGCCTCCTTCCCCAGACCCTTTGTATTCGGAAAATGTGGGAATCCACAGTTAAATTTCAACTTGAAAAAGAAACCAGGAAAAAAAGAGATATTGGAAGCAACAAAGCACAGTTAAGGTCAGCCAGGCAACCACTATGCCATGTGCCACCTTTCCCTTTTGCTTACTGCTCTCTTTTCTTTCTTAAATTAGTCCTCTTTCAATTGCTATCCAACCTTCAGAAATTAATACGATTTAAACAGCTCACATATTTTAGAAATAGTATTGTGCACACACAATTTTCTCGGAAGAGTAAAAACTAAGGAATAAAGAATGTAAGTGTGTTTAAACAATCTATCATCAGTATGTTAACTTCAGCTTTTATTCTGAGTATCCTCAAACATCTGGGACCAGAGGCTTCTGTGTACTAAGGTTTCAGCTTAGCTTATGCAATAGAATTTTAAAAACTGGCTTCACATTATGTAAATGTTTTCCTTGATCTGGTTTATTTATAAAACTTGCTGAAATCTCATTAAAATTGATTTCAGTTATATAACCTAATATCTGTGTGTAGTTACCTGATGAAGTTAAACAAATGAAAAAATACACATTAGGCTGTCAATTTTAGAGATTAGTACAGTTAAAGACAGTTAGACCAATTAAACCTGATATAAGGAATTAAATCTGGATAATTCAACCCTATTCCTCATTACATTTATTTGGAAGTGCTCACCCCTTATGATTTTTTTATTCAGGATATGTTCAATTGCCAAAATATATATCCTTCTGTGCCTACTAGACACTTATGAAAGAAAACAGGAGTCTGTTTCTGCAGCAGCACTGAAAGAGCTTGACCTACGTAAATGCTAGGAGGCTAACAGCAAGCCTGTAGAAAGTGCTCTTGGTTCTCTTGAACCACTGCAATCACAGCAGCAATTACCTGGTAGTAAGTCTGTCGTCTACATTTCTTTCGTAAAACAGAAGTAATTTTAAGGCTGTCTAGGTGGTCTTACCTGTTTTTCTATGCTTTGCCCGTTTTCCACCCACTGAAATCATTCTCACAGAAAAGACTCAATAAGAAATCTGATCTTATAAATATCTAGTTACCCAAAAAGGTCTTTCAGCAGTTTGGTCAGGATAATATTAACATCCCAGTCCACAGGAGAATACTACGTACCAAATCCTGTGTGAATTTGATGAGTGGAGACTGCAAAGGTGGCGTACTCTCACCATGGATAACCAAACAGCAAATGAATCAATTTCAACTGACAAACTCTACAGAATCAAGAGCTTACATCATATATCTTCAAAATTAGGATTTATCTTTAACACAGTACAAATGCTGTCAGCATCTTCTTGCCCTAGATCTGAAACTACTTAAACATGTTAGAAATTTGTTCAGTAATACTTTATCATAGCTACATATGCCAGCACAGTACCTTATCAGAAGTACAGTACCATTAATTCATCAAAGAAACTGTACTACAATACATAGATTTATAATGCATTAAACTGAACAACTACAGGCACTTCTCTGAAATAGTTTGAAGAACTTAAACTGGGCACAGTTCACAGCAGTGGAAAAGGGAATTTTGTCTTATTGTAATCAGCACTTTTATTTGAGTCAGATCATCTAAACATATCATGGTAAATCATATAAAAAAAAAACCTAAGCATTTAAGAGTTATGATGCCCTATCATTAGTTGCTCTAAGCTGATAAAAGAGTAATGGAATGCCAGCTGAATCTGCAATTCAACCATTATTAACTATATGTCTGCATATAAGGTTGCTTGTGCAATATCTTATAAATACATCCTATGTTAAACAGCTGACACTATATGCCAGTTTCTAAATACGAAGCCTTGTTGCACAAATAACTATAGATCTGTAGCTAAGTACAATAATAACCTAATGCTGCAACATTGAGCTTACAAAAAAGAAAGATATTGAAAGTCCATTAAAGCACTGTGAATATCATACTCTCTCAGCATGGATGAACAGCACACTATTTTTTTGAAGAGAAAATTTTTTATTTTATTATTAGTTGTAATTGCTCCTCACGTGTCAGCAATACAGGCTTTCTAGTCTTTAAAAAATAAATCTGGAAGCATCACAAATATATTTTTTAATAAGAATAAACAATGTTTTCACTCAATAGGAAGTTACTGCAGGGAAGAAAAGTCAGCAGTTTTTGCTCTATCTCCACCTTATGGCTAGAAAAAGTATTTTCCTCACACATATTTCTGTGTTGAGTTTTTATCCCCTTTATTGTATCCTTATAGCCAGAGAATATTTATTACTTGTACTTTAGAATTTAATATTCTAATAATCACACATGTTCTCTAGTTGACAGAACAAAACTCCAAGACATAAATGTCCTTTCTAGCACCTGAATTAATTTGCTGAATCAAGATAGCAAAGTTCCAGTCTAAGTTTGGATTCACATACAAAGGTGATTATTTGGGCTCTGCCTCAAAAGTGTAGAGGCTCACATATCACTGCTGTATTCTGTTAAGAGTTCTACAGCTAGACCTCCCCATAGAGATAACCTTCACTGATATACCATTCATAATGTTTACACCTATATATTTTGTAGTTTTAAGTATAATAATCATAATCAGGTGACTTGTATATAGTGCCTTATTGACTTGCACCCACTGGGGTAAGAGACTAACATTAGCTACTCTGTGATACAAAATACAACAATACTCAAAAATGAAGAGACTGCGTGTACAAAGGGGCACACAAGAGCTGCCAAATATGAATGTAAGTAATCGTAAGTAACCTTATAGTGAATATTCAAAGAATGGCCAGGGTTGGAAGGGACCTCAAGGATCATGAATCACGTATCAACCGATTTTTCAATAAACATTTAGGAGAGAAAACTGAATAGCTGTCTGCTTCAGCTATGACAAAATGTTCACAAAATAGTGGCAATCTAGTTTCAACACACTCTGACATGAACTCCTGGCCTGCATTAGAAATAGTGTGGCCAGCAGGAGTAGGGAGGTGATCATCCCCCTGTACTCAGCTCTGGTGAGGCCGCACCTCGAGTACTGTGTTCAGTTTTGGGCTCCTCACTACAGGAAAGACATTGAGGCCCTGGAACGTGTCCAGAGAAGGGCAACGAAACTGGTGAGCGGTCTGGAGCACAAGTCTTATGAGGAGCAGCTGAGGGAGCAGGGATTGTTCAGTCTGGAGAAGAGGAGGCTCAGGGGACACTTCATTGCACTCTACAACCTCTTGAAGGGAGGCTGTGGTGAAGAAGGGTTTGGCCTCTTCTCCCAGGCCATGAACAGGACCCGAGGAAATGGCTGCAAGTTGTACCAGAGGAAGTTTAGGTTGGACATGAGGAAGAACTATTTCTCTCAGAGAGTGGTCAGACACTGGAATGGCTGCCCAGGGAGGTGGTGCAGTCACCTGGCAGTGTTCAAGAGGCATTTGGATGAGGAACTACAAGATATTGTTTAGTGCTTGTGGTAGCAATGGTAATGAGAAGACGGTTGGACTGGATGATCTTACAGGTCGTTTCCAACCTTGTGATTCTATGACTTCTCAGGGCTTATAAAAAGCTTCTAAAAAGAAAAAAATAAACAAACACAACATCTTCTTAGCTGTGAATACAACCCCCCAAAAAACTGTAAGATATTAAAACAAACAAAAAACAACAACATGAATGCCTGCTTCCCTTCACCAATGGTAGCTGACCATCCATTTACTACTTAGGAATGAGAACACTACATTAAGCCCACAGTGAATCTTTATTAGATGCAAATCAAAAAAGAATGTTAAGCTGGCTATCCAAACAAGATTCAAAAGAAGCAGGACATAGAAGTCAGATCTCTCCAATGAGTAAAGGTACATAGTTACACAAGATATGCAACTAAAATGCTTCAGAAAAAAATAAGAGAAAAACAGTTCTAGAAAGAAAATCTAGCATCCTTTCTTTCTGCATGTTGTAAAAGGACATTTTGCAGATTGTGCAGGATTACCAAATTCACGGACAAAACAAAATCTGAAGATCTGACATCACTACAGGTTCCTTAGATTACAAAAAAACCCTTACAAAATACAATCCTTTTCTCTGGTTTTCTAGAATATATTCCATAATGTGTCAAACAAATGACTCAACACATACTGGTACGAAAATAATCTTTATTTGAAAACATCTCACCATGCAGATTATCTACTATAGATTCCATAAAACAGTAATATCAACTCAAGCAGATAGATCCAATTATAACTTTATTAAAAGATTTTTAAAAGTATTAAAGTATTAAAAGTATTTAAAGACAGATTTTAATTCAAGATTTTATGTAACATACATTTCCAGAGTTCTGACAAGTCAGAATGACATTCCAAAAGTGGTAAAAGAAGTAGTTCAAGAATCATGCCAACTTAGACCCTGTACAAAAGTGAAGATAACTTCAAAACATCAGCTACGTCTGATATTCCTCCCTGCTTCCAACATGTGGCTGTTCACACCAACTGAATTAGAGGCCACCAACTTGTCCCATAGACCACATCAAACAACAGACTAGATTAACAGTTCAGAGCATGATTTCTAAACATAAAGATGTATTCTTACTCCACAACATGGAAGTGTTAATCTACTTTTCAGTCATTTAAAACCATTCAGACATTTATAAACAGATCAAAGCCAAGGTATTTAATATACTAGCTTCTACAACACTTATTTTGAAAGCCCAGATTTTGCCTATCTAGTAAATATACTCTGAATTTGTATAATGGAATTAGTGAAAATTGTATCCTTACTGCTGTTCCTCTTTAAAAGTTTCACACTGCTAATGATAAATTACACGTACTTGAAGAATGTGCACAGTAGGGATCCTTCCATTATTATGGGAGAAATTAAGTACAACAAATCTTAAATTACACTAATCGTTATGTCTGTAAATGATACATTCTAAAAATTTTTATCAAGTGTATGAAAACATTATAGTGTGTGTGCATGTATGTATTTTTCAAAAGCAGAAGCAAGAGTCAGGAGATGGACATAAATAAGACTAAATGCTTTCACAGGTGCAAAGTTGGCTCGCAGAATCTCAAGTTAGTAAGAAAACACAGAAAAACGTCTGGAAATTCCACTGCTGTTTACTAGGCTCTGCATTTCTTTTTTTTTTTTTCTCCTCTATCCTCTGCTTTTCTTTAAAATAACCTGCAAAAAAAGAAAAGTATATTTATAATTGCTTGTATCTACATTATAATCCAGGCAGCAATAAGATCCAAAACAATACTAGGATATTCAGATCAGTGGCTTTTCTAGCCAAGCAATCTGTTTCCAAGAGTAGAGTGACTAAGGGTAGAAGTCTATGGAAAACGATAGGAATAAAGGAAAAGCATATATAACTATGCCATATCAGAAAATTTAAAACTCATAACCAAGAACTTCGTAAAAATAAAAGGCTTTTTTTTTTTTTTTTTTTTTTTTAATAAATGCAATGCCAAGAAGTATCAATAGCACTCTCAAGCCCTCGGCATATTCCTTGAAGCTCTTATCCCATTAGACCTAGACAAAAAGAAAAAACTAGAATTTGAAATTGTACAGTTATTACGCTCAGTTTTCATTTGCAGTACCTTACTTCTTCCCATATTAAGGGCGCCCAGACCCTTGGAAGGACATTTTTTGGTTTGGAGTTTAAGTTGAAAAATGAACTTCAAAGCCCAAGTGGGACCATTTAAGTGTTAACATTATTAAAATACAGGCAGTTTTTCCTTTCTTCTCATCTTAAAAAAAATATATATATAAATGAAGCAAGAAATGTTCAAATAACATTAAGATTGCAGTTAAAAAGAAATTACAAATGCAAAAGATTCCAACTGCAACATTAACTTGGCTACCCTATACATTCTGTATATATTTTTGTTACTATAGTAACAGAAACTATCAAACTAAACATTTTGCTAGAGGAAAGAAAGATTGAAGATAAACAGAAGCCACAGGACCAAGATATCAGATACCACTGAGTGTTACTCTTCTAGTTTGGACAGCAGCAGAAGGTAGTTGAACAAATAACTCAGAACATTAGACCAAGTTCCTTAAGAAAACCCAGACAAAGAAGATTTAGGTCAGATTTTGGGAAGAAATTCTTAATTCAGAGTGGTGAAGCAGTGGCACAGGTTGCCCAGAGAAGCTGCGGATGCCCCATCCCTGGAGATGTCCACGGCAAGGCTGGATGGGGCCCTGGGCAGCCTGATCTGGAGGATGAGGTTCGTGTCCATGGCAGGGAGTTGGAATTGGGTGGTTTTTAAGATCCCTTCCAAAGAAAGACATTCTATAATTTTAAAGCAGACATCTCTCTCTCCAAGTGGAGTGAGCTGCAAAATACAACAGGACTTCAGGCATACTTTGGCATTAATTCTTTCTAGGGAGAGAAGACTGTATAATCCATTCACCTTTGCCTTACTCTACACGTACACAGAACTCAAGAGTCCTGTAACACAGACAGCTCCTCCTTCACATACATTCACACAGCAGCATTTATGCTGAACCCACATATTAATTCATATCTTAATCTTCTCACAGTTCTTCCCCTGCAGGGCACAACATCACACAAAGTTTGTTTGCTCAAACAGTATCAGCACAAGGCTACAAGAACCCACCTAAGAGCCCCACGTCTTTCAGAATAAGGTAAAAATTGAAGATGCAGATTTGAACTCTTCTCCACTTGCTCCATGAAGCTTAATTTACATGATTTCAGTTAAGATATTAATTTTATATTAATTTGAAATTCATGTGAAATAAAGACCCTCCAACTTTCAAACTTGTTCCAGTTCCACAAAGTTCAGACTCATCCTCCCCCATCCCAAAGCTATGATATCAAATAGCAACAAATTTTAGTTTTGCTAGTCACAGCTGTTCATAGGCAGATATGAACTTTTACCACCCATTCAGAATAAAGGTGTTCACTGTCAAAGTGGCAGGGAGCTACAGGACTAAACAGTCTTATAACACAGAGCAGTTATTAATGCATTTGCCAGTGCTGTGCCAGCCACAACCACGTAGCTTTCAGCCCACAAATGCATCAGTGGACTTCACCAAAGACATACTCGCATATTGCAATATGAGTTTAAACATACAATAATTTCATTAAAATAGTACTATATGTATTGGCAAGTTCATTTGATATCTTGGTGACATTTTCACAAGCTTTGGATTATAGTTAAAAACATTAACACTCAGAAAACTTATGCATCTGCTGTTGTAATATATTTTACATTGAACAGAAAATGAAGATACTAGATATGCCTCATTACCTTTGCTGCAGCTATAGTATGCTCAGGTTTAATTACTTTACTTTTGTTCTCAAAAGCATTTGTCCTGGCTTCTTCTGCTAACCGATGGAGAAACAACAAGAAGCTCAAATGTACCTTTAAAAGGAGAGAAAAAAAAATCAGGAAGGATTCAAACTGCTCATAGACTTAGTTTTGTTAGAGGGTCGCTGTTTGAGACAGAATTCCTATATTGGATTGCTTCCTAATTCCTGGAGTGTCCTCTCAGGAAAACAAAGTTTCACTCTATTCAATGTATCACCTTAATAGATACTCATGAATTCCTTAATATAAGACTCTTGTTAAACTCTAAAGAACGCTTTAGAGGAGATCATAGAGACATCTAACAGAAATAAGATTTGATTTATATTAGCAGGGCATTTTTTTTTTTTTTTTTTAATAGATTGTAAACCAATAGCTCAATTGCAGAATCAGAAGCCTTTTTGTGTACTGGTAGATCTAATCAGCTTCTAGTGACTAAACCAGCCAGACTGTTAATGGACAGCAAACCCGACCCATCCTCATCACCAGACACGCTACAGACAAGTTCAAGGACTTCTGCCTTTTTCCAGTGTAAGGGAGCACTGACATGAATTTCTCTAGCACACTAACATGTCATTGTCAGGAGGCTCCATCCATTTATTGCCAGCTTATCATTTAACCTTCCTACGTGATTCCAGTTCGATACATAATCCTGCTCTGTTCAGTATCAGAATTTCAGCAGCCAAAAAACCACAAAAAGTTATTATTAAAAACTACCATATAAAAACACCTTTGTGTAGCCTATAGCCACCTCACATTATACTGACCTGAAAAGAAGCATTTTAACAGTCCAACATTGAAAACTGGCAATAGCACCTATTGTCAATTAAACCTTCAAACATTAACTTTGTTTTGTACAGCACACAAAGTATTTCTTCAATCAAGAGCTCAAAAATGTTATTGGAACATAGCAATTATGCATATGAATTCGGTGACATCCTTGCTCTGCCATCATATCTTTCTAGACCAAATAACCAGCTACAATTTGGTGTTCATAGGAAATAGTTTGGCAGTGTGTTCGGAGCAGAAAATCTGTAGTAAGCGGTGTTTCAATACTCATATGACAATCAATTCTTTTCTAAGTCTGCTGAACTAAAAGAATGATATTTTGCAATATATACATTTATATTTTTGTATTTGGAAGCAACTACTACACAAAGCAGATGCCGAGGCAGGTTCACTTTGCAAAATATCAAAGCTGCTTTAAACTTACTCGTAAGTTCCTCATGAAAATGTTACCTCAGGGGGGAAAAATATATATATATTATATATATATATTTTATATATATATATATATATTATCTCATATATATTATCTATATATATATTATATATATATCTCTCTCTGCAGTGACACTAAGTATCAGACATTATAAATCTCATTATTAGACTCATTAACATAGAGGTCAGGTTCCTAGGAACAACCCAGAGGAGAAGGGGGAACAAAATCTTTCCGTACTTCATTTCTTCATACTGAGACACTGTTTGCCAGGACTAACAAACTACTGACGAGAGCAAGCTCCTTATTTTCTGTTGACAATACAACTTATGAATAATTTCTTAGAACATATTTTGCCTTCAATACTCATTAGACTCCATGCTGATCACAAAGACAAAAGCAGTCACTCAGAGCTGTAGCTCATGCTTTTCTGCAATGTAAGTACAAACCTGCATTTGTAGCAAAAAGCAAGCAGCTTTTCTTCCATAATTTCAAGCTAGAACAAACTTTGCACAGCTTATCTCTGACAGCTGGGTGGGAGTAGGTAACATTCAAATCTGAGCCTTTATCTATTAATTTCAAAAAGGGAAGTAATTGATTTCTAAACATGTTGGAGAAACCTCAACATTTATCACTTCAAATATATGTCATATTCCTTCAGTAAAACAGAGGGTAAAACAGAGAGTAAAACAGTAAAAACCTATTAGAAAATAGGTTCTGATGAAGCTTCAGAGTTCAAAAAAAGATCTGAAAGGGGAAAGAAGAGACTCAATTTAGACATGTAACAAAAACATTTGTATTATGATTGCTCCTAACAAGTTTGAAAGACTAATCATCGAAGTTTACTGAAGACAAATAATCACTTAAGAGTCAGGAAAAAAATAATCACTACACAATCAATTATGTAGGAAAACCTCTACACTAGACTGGTTTAGTACCACTGTGGATTCAAACAAAGCTGGTATCATTCAGGAAAACAACCCTGGAAATGAAATAAATGAAATAGCCAATTCTCTCTGTTTTCCTGCAGCACAAGACACAAACAGCTTTGCTAAGAGCTTTGTCTCATTAAAATAACTAGTACACGAAGCATGCAGTCAAATCAATCTTACAAGATTTGTAGAGAACAGAGGGAAGCTTAAAAAAAAAAAAAACAAAAAAAAAAAAAAAAAAAAAAAAAAACCACCTGCATTCAAAAGTTGTTATTTCTCTAACTACAGAAGTTAAACTGTAAAGCTAGATCAACACAGCTGTAGTTTTGTTTATTTATTCATTAAAAAAAAAAAAAAAAAAGGAATGAAAGAGCTATTAGCCATGTGCCTGGTTGATTACCATGCATAGTCAGCACCCCTGAAAATCTCTGTTCAGAAAAAGGGTAAAATAAAAAAGGCAAGCCTCCTATTTACTGCGACATTACCAGAGGACATGCTCTAAACTTCCACCACACCATGAGAACTTGTTCTAATCTCATCCTTTGTGTAGGAAAGAGTACTCGCACAGTCATATTTTAAGCTAGGTCACATTGTTGTTGGTCATTAGTCTCAGTCAATTCAGTTCACTGACTGTACTTGCAGCCCAAAAAACACTACTGCCAGTAGAGGCAGAGATAAGAACCAATGGCTGAAATTTGTGAGGGATGCCCAGTTACCCCTCTTCAGTCAGCCACACTTCCTTGAAGCCAAGGAAACACATGACCATGGAAACACAGACCAAGTATTAACAATGACTGCAAAGAATGTATTGATAATTGAGCAAGTTTGTTTAGTTTCTATTGCATCCCCCTGAATAAGCTTTGAATAGTTCTGAACAGGAGTAGAGAGAGGTGAGGTCCTTAGTCCACAAAATATGATACAGATAGCAACAGCAATAGGAAGATACATTCTGTTATTAGGCAAATTAGAAAAATACGTACTGTTTACATTCATATGTAAATGCTGTCATGTAAGCACCATATTAATAATTATATGCATAGATATATTTTATTTAGTATATCTGCTTTGAGCTTCACATAGCCAGCCATCGACCTTCAGGATTCTGCAAGACGGCTTTTATTCATATGAAATACGTAATTCAGATTAGTCATAATTCAAATCATACAAATATACAATATGCATTACTGCCCTCACAATCACACACGGCTAAAACCAATAAACACATCACAGTCAAACTAATTCAGGCAATTAAATCATTTCAAAAAAATATTTTTACGCAGAGATTGTTCTTTCCCCCTGCAGCTACCACAGGTTCTCCAAAGATCAGGTTCTTTTGTACAGTTGGGCATTCTTCCAGCAACACAAACCCTGTGACAAATCCGTCATTGCAGGTAAAATTGTTGTGGGTCAGCTTTTTCTGACTTGCTCCATAAGACTCTGTTACCCCCTACACCTTTTCAGGGGATACTTTTAACCCACGGGTAGGATCCCAACACTTGTTCTCATTAGACGACGAAAAAAGACATTCCACTCCTTAGTTTTACATTGAGGTTACTTGAGACAGCCTCCCAGACGCACTGACAGCTTAGCGACTCATTAATCACAGTTCTGCTGAATGCTACCTGCACACCAAAACCACTCTGCATCAACTTCTGCATGTTACTTACAGCAGCCTCCTATTTCTCAATCCATCTACGCCAAACTCTCGGAACAGCAGTGCACACTTGCGGAGCGACACAATGTTCACACATAACCCCGAGTCCCTAAGCTCATCGTCCCACCAAACCTGCTTCCTCTCAGCTCGTAGGACACAGCATCAAACTTGTCATCCCATTACTCTCCACAGCTCCCAGCGTTCCAGCACGCACACCCCACCAGCCCAGGCCACTTCGCTTCGGGATCGCCCTTCCCACAGGGCTTCAACCAGGAACAGACGCACCACCGATGCCGGCCCCACACGACGACCCCCGGGGCTGCCGTTACGGAGCGGGCTGATCCTACCCCTGACCCGCCCCCCAACCGCCAGGGCCTCGCCGGACGCCCGCCTCACCAGCAAGTCGGTGTTGGCCGCCAGCCGTAAGTGAGGCTTGTGCTTCTTTATGATCTTCCGCAAAGCGCCGCGTGGCGCCGTGCGCCTCATCCTCTTCCTCCCCGTTCTCCTTCTCCTTCTGCTGCCGTGACAGGGCTCAGCGCCGCCCGCCGCCGTTCGAATCCGCCGCGCTGGCGCAGGCGCGCTCCCGCCGTGACGCACTTCCCAACGGCCGAGCACTGCGCCGCGCCGGGGGCGGGGCTGCCCAGCGCCGCTCGTGCGTTGCCCCGACAACCGCTCCACAGTCGGAAAGGGGGAGGCGGAAGGCTGTTATGTCTTGAGCAGCACCGCGCTGTCGCTGTGTGCTCTGCTCCTTCCCCAGCCCCGCGGCGACTCGGCTTCTCGGGTCCCGAAGCCGGTAGTTGCCGGCTTGCATGTCGCCGTCCGGTGGCCGAGCAGAAGGTTGGGATGGTGTGAGAAGAATCCAGACCCCGTGATGGGGTCACACGGGTCGGCTGGGCATAGCGGCGGTCCTTTGCAACGCGAGAACCTGCAGTGCAAGCTGCTTCCCTTATAAGTTAGTTGAAAGCTTGGTTGCTAAAGCATTGACTGAACACCTTACCAGAATCTCCACCTTGGCCTTTCTAACCAGCGAGAAAGAAAAGAACGTGGCGATCTCTTGACCACCTTTATCTGGCCTTGAAAGCTGGCTGCCACAGTGTGCAGAAGGTCCCCAGAACAGAGGGAATGTGCCACAGGTGCCAGCATCAAGCCTCCTAACGTAGCCTTGGGCCCACACCCGTGGGTTTTAAGCAAGCATTTTACACGTGCAATTGAGGTTATTTGCTGCAGAAGTGGAGGGAGGTGTACAACACGTGTGTTCCCTGCACCGCTGCCCCATGTCACACTGCTGGGAGATGTGACGCCAGAGAGTGCAGCCTGTGTAGGCTGCAAGTCCTGGGGCTGAATTAGCACTGTAAGCCTGCACAGAAATGAGCGCAGAGAGGTGGTCCTGCTCTGTATAAACACCTGGGCAAAATACTGTACCCAAATCTAACCCACACACATAGACACACTCATTCTTAAAGCAGCCACCACTTTAAAGTGACACCCCTCTCTCACATCCGTCCCCGCACGTCTCTTTCGGCGGACGGATGCTGCTGACCGAATACAGGTTTCCCCACCGAGGGGCCCCTGTAGCTTGGCATTCTCACTGCATTTGGACTCTGTGTACTTAGTTGGAGAAAGGGTCAGGATTTCATACTGAGGTATGGAGCTTTTCAGCATATTTATTAGTATTTTTTTTTTGTTTTCTTTGGCCTATGAGATGTTTGCAAATTTAAACGTTAAGTCAATGAGATAAATATATTACCTTCATTTTAATATATCAAAATTACCAGTGCCTAGAGACAAGCTGTTTTCATTAAAGTATACTATTAGATCTGCATGATTTTGTATTTTACTTAATTTTGCACAAAATGTGGTCCAAGTCGAAGTATGATATCTGACAGCAGGAGAGAATTTAAGATCTGCCAGTTCTTCATACTGTGTTGCTTTGTTCTTTCAGCTCTGACTGTCACTGGTCATTAATCATCAACAACACAGAACCTAAAATCAGGGTCTCATATTTTTTCTGTAAATGGATAAGCATTAAAACATAGCTTTTTTCTTTCTTTCTTTCCCGCAGCTTAATAATAATCACAGTTACTGGCTCAGCAGCACTGACAGAAGTAAACATTTGTTTTGCCACTTAACTAAATGCATATGACTCAGAGCTACATAGGGTCGTACACTGTGGTACATACATTCTACACATAGAAACTTGCATCTGGATCGACAATAATTCAGCATGTCAACAAATTCAAATTTACAGTAGTTCACGAGACCTTACTGAGCTGAGAATTGGGCCTTGCAGACTTGTACTGTCAGTAGGAAACTGGTGTGGGCAATCATTTTACAAACTGTATGAGTTGCAGAACTCCACCGTAAGTCTAAAGCTATTAAAATATGCCATACAAATTTGAAACTCTGAAGTGACTTGCGTAAAATAAGACTAAGAATCAACAGTTGTAACTACATCTCCAGTCATGTGTTTGCTGTATGGATAATACTTACTGAATAATGAAATCTCTTATTAAGTCTAATAGACCTGTGTTGGTTCTGACAGTTTTCTATATCTAATGGACTATTCTTTGGTTTTAACTGTAGAAAAAAATAATTTAGAGTGCTGCCTCAAATCTATCCATGTACCGAATTTTCTTTCTTTTTGCAGTTTGAAAAATTTATGATATTAATTACTGCAAGCAATTGAGAACAGAGGTCCAATGGAAAAATGACAAATTATAGGTTCTGGTCTACTGAGTGAACATGAATTCCTATAGCTAAAATTTCTCCTTCAGTATGTATTTTACTTTATTCCCTTTGTCCATAAATATTTTTGTAAATATGATTTTCTAATAGATGAATACAGGAAAAATGTAGTACAAGAAAACATTACAAATTCATGTATGAATAAAATGATTTTACAAATTAAACTAAATTCCATAAAAATCACAATTTTCAAAATATTTTATTTTACTAACATATGGATTAATAATGCATTACAGTGAATCACAGAGCAACCATAAGCTCACATTATATTCTGATTTTGCACAACTGTTTTCCTTTTTCACCTTTCTGGTAGAATCTTTAATGTTCTGATGTAATGCTGTAATGAAAAAAAATATATACAAATAGCTAAAAGAACCTTGCAAAATGTATTTTAAATTAATTCTTGAAACATTGAAATTATTAATTTTGTCATGCTCTTACAGCCTTCTCATAAAAGGTAATTGTGTGCAATATGGATACATTAGAATGTGTTGCTATTTCAAAATTAGAGCAGTTTTGCAACCATTTTCTACATGCAGCAGCGTTATTTTCAAACAAATATTTCAGAGAATTTCAACAAACTATTTCAAGAATTTAGGGATTTCACTTCTCAAAAATTGCCATTTTTAAACGCAGAGTAGCTCATTTCATGAGCTGGATTTGTTTTGTGGCTTCAGCTGCAGCACAGGATCGTCCGAGATTTCCAGGAATATTTAACCGTGCTTTAGGACTAAATACACCATCTAATACTGATGATGAGAACTGGAAAATTTAGTAGTTCAAACTCCACCATCCAGATCTGACTTCTTCAAGTATACAAACAGCCTTTGCAGTGTTTGAATCAAAGCAATTTCAGTAACATAGTTTTGTCAGCTTTGCTTCCAGATTATGTGCATTTCTTGAAAACAGCCCAGTACATACTAAGAAGAGGCCTAGCGTGCATCCATCACTTCTGAACTGCAAACCAGTAAACATTTTATTTCCCATTTCTGTAATGGAATGGAAGATTTTAAAGACTAATTTTACCCACTCCTCTAAAACACTGTAAATTGAAGCAAGTGTACTGTTTGGAGATTAAATTGAAAATCAGAGTTTCATTTCTGTTCTGAATTTTTGATGAGTCCATCTCAGTTGTTATGTGAGTTATTTTATTTGTGGGTTCTGACATTATCTTCAGGCAGGCTCTTCATCAGCTCTTCATCAGTTCATTATTTTAGTTATAAAGAATGCTGAAGAGCTCTATTTTAAATGTGTGATACCTTGAAATTAATAATCACATTTTATAGATTCTTTGTAAGCCAAAGGTCCCTTGGTCTCTTCTCTGCACATACAGTGTGTGTTAAAAATTTTCTGGTGCTAATCCAGCTTCAGTGGCTGATGAAAGACTGTGAAACATATCCTGGATAAGAATGTCAAAGCCTAAAATCTTTTGATGTGTTCTTCAGTGATGAAAAGATACCTCTAAAACAGAACATAACAATTCAGCAAAAGTAAACTCTTCTATAATGTAGTTGATAGGCTTGATCTTAGTGGTTGGAGGCATGCATGCTGAGTCTCCTGTTACACCTGTGTATTCTTTCATTGAGTGTAGGATAATTCAGGTGTGGTTGAAATCTGTAGAGAAACAGAAAAAGAGAATTCAAAGGAGTAAATTGTATGTTTTTCTCTCCTCCATGGAACTCATGCACATCTCCTGCTAGTAAAAGAAGGTGGAAATGGCAACTTTGACAAGAAACTTTTCTCCTGTGGCTATTACTATCAATAATATATCAGTAATTTGATTGCAGTGGTAAGAACTAGCAGCTCAAAGAGAAAGGCAGCTCTCTTTTTTTGTTTTGCCTTATTTCTATCTATTTTCAGGACCAGTGTTAAACAGTGAACAATCAGAAAGGTGCAATGCCATAAATTATATTTGAAATTCACACTATTTGCAGATTTTAGGATTTATAATTTAAGCTTCAGTTTTTCAGGATATTGTGTGTATCAGATCTCTGAAGGCTGTGCTGAGCCTGCCTGCCTAACATCAGTTGACTTCTATACAGGCAAGAGACTGTCCCTCAGCCTGTTCTAACAGTTGAAACTGCATTCATAAAATCAAGAAGGGCATATATATCACAGCTCAGTAGTCACTCACTTGCAGAGATATTACATACTTGCTATAAAAAAAAATGTATAACATTTACACAGTTTTTAAAGCGATTTTATGTAGGATCACATTGATGCTCATATAGGTTTATACAGGTGTATACAACAATGCTTATTTCCATTTAATTCTGTAAGAGAAAGTTGTTTACTTCTGATTTTTTCCAGTGGAATTCTTAACATTGAGTAAATAATAGAAATAAATACATTTTGCCAGGTACCCACTTTGACAGCATTCCTGTAACTTTTGTTGTGTCATTTTTAGATTTATGTTATGGTTCTATATTTATTGAGGCAGACACATTCAAATTCATGTCAGTTATTCAAATTCTAGGAGTGATATTACCATCTTCCATGGCTACATGCAGACCAGAGGGATCTTCAGCTACCTCTAATTGGATCAGCTACTCCAGACCTGCTAAGAAAAAGAACACCTTGTATGAGAAACTTTCACAAACCTAAACAACATTCAGAAAAATACCTGTTATCTGCCTCCAAAAAATTATTGTATACACACGTGATAAACAGAAAAGGAGGGTAAAAAAAGTTAATGACATATCCTGATCTGTCACTTTACTGAAAGCAGGTCAAATTGACATAATATGATGAATGGTAATGTACAGTATCAATATAGAATTGAAAGAAAGATTAATATACAGATACATACTATTAAACTGCCAGCTTTATCAGGAAGGATAAATTGGAAGTGTCGATCATGAGAAGGTATTTTTTTCTTCACATTGTTTTTCTCATGTCTTTCGGCCTCCCTAGAAGATATGTTAACACTGACCTCCCACAAGGACCATGTTTTTCCCCATTGGGATTTTTTTTTTCAGTCAGAAAGAAACCCCTCAAAGTCTGATACACAATAGTTTTTCCTACTTTTTTCTTGATTTCCTTCAGGTTGTGTACTCTCTCAAATGCAGAATGATATACTACAGAAAGGCCTGCTTTGCTGTACATCTTTCTATCAATTATCGGCCTTGAATGTAGAGGAAAATAGGTGATCCCAATTTGAGATGTCAATTCCTGCACCAAATAAAATAGCTGTTTATTTGTGTTTCTAATTGCCACTCATCCTCTGCTCATAAATCCTTAAGTAATTCAGGAACAGGTAATGAAGGCCCTAAAGTGAAAAATGCCCATTTCTGGCTTGGGACTGCATGCCTTTCTTGTGACTGCCCTAACACGTAGGTATATACATGTGTATTTGTCAACATTAAAGCCAGCTAGCAACTCATCACAACATATATCTAAACAGAAACATAAATACAGTTAAATATTTTTTTAAATCTATAAACAGTCAGATATAACCAGTGGGATGCCTACCTGCCAGCTGATTTGCCCCAGTGCCCCTAATAATGGATTACTGCAAACTGACTTCAAAGAGGAGTGATGGAGTGACAGATCAGTTAGGTTTCAAATAAGGTGAGTTGACTGCTAATTATTTAAATCCTACTTTGTGTGCCAGAAGCAAATTTACAGCATTATCATTGTATGTGAACACGGTAGAAGAAAGAATAGTGATGACAGCAAAGCAAAAATTTGACTATTGACTTCCAAGTACATGAAATAACTTCAAAAAACAACAGAAGTAGTCATTAGTGCACAAAATAGCCATGTACTATGCAGTCAATGAGAGTGGTGGAGATCATTTTTTTTTCCTACCTTTTACCATCATTAATAGTAAAGGAGTTTAAAAAAGAAAGTTTCAAATAAAATTTGAATAATTCAAAGTAGATCGAAATCTGAATATATGTTTTCAATGCAGATTTTGGAATTGAAGAGGTTTTGTTTACTGCTTAGAGGAAAGCCAACTGAGAATGAAGCTGTATAAGACATGCAAAACGGTCTATCACAAAAAAGTTCATCTATCCATCATCCATCCATCTGCCTTCTTTAACAAGCAGACATAAAATCATCAGCCTTCTAAATTATGTTAATAAATTAGTAATCAAATATGGTCTATCAAAGATGGTATGGGTAGAATGCAACTATTTATTTATTTGTGTGTTATCTTTGATTGCCCTGAAATCTTCCTGAACATAATTCTGTGCCCTTTCAAATGCCCTTTTCAAATGTGCAAATTCATTTCTAAACAGCAATAAGCATAAAAGACACCCACCCTCCCCCAAAAAAGGAAAACACACCAGCTATTCCAGATTAGTATTAAGAATCAGATCTTTTTAAAAAAATCTAAATGAAAAAGATAAAATTTTGAAACTTTACTGCTCCTGTAAGCATAACCAAGGAAGAGAAAATACATCAGACAATATGTTGAATTATAGGAATTACTAAATCATTTTCTCTTTCAGCTAGTCAACTGCAACTTTGGTCTTGGGAATGCAGAGTTTGTGGTTTTTTCTATATCCTGCTATAAGGTGTATAGAAAGAGCCTTCAATCATAAATTATCTATTGAGCAAAAAAATCTTTTATTAGCTTAGAATCATTTGATAACATTTGCAAATTCATATTTGATTAATTGGAGTGGTAATTTGCGGAGTGAAAGATATTGTATATACTTCATGAATGTTAAGTAACACCAGTAAGTAATGCTTAAATAAATGTAACTGACCACAGTTCTGTAAATAATCCACTGCTGATGCAGGCTTTTTCTTCTCTTACAGAACAAGCATACCTTCTTCAAACAGTGCTTGACACAAAAGAAAACAGTGAAGTGTAATGCTGCAGGTTAATAAAATTAAAAGACAGCAGCTGTATCTGCTGCCTTGCAGAGAGGCAAGACACTGCTCCCTGCTGAAAGAAACTGCATTGGAGCCTTAGCATAAAAATAACCATGTTGTCTGAGGAGAAAAGAAGCCATACTGAGTTTACTTCATCTACTCATACTGGTGTGTGAGCATATTGTTACAACAGAAATGTACACTGAAGCACAGTAGGCTATCTATCTGAGTTTACACAGCCTAACTTAACTACCACAAAACTAAGAAAAAGATCTTTTTCATGCAAAATTCATACCTCTTCCATCATTACAGATACAATTATAACAAAACTAATGCACAGGATGAGTCATAACACAAACGCAAGAGAAAAGTGTCCTGGAAGAGAACCACCAGGAGAAAGAGAAAAAAATTAGACGTGTACAAGAATATGAGAAGCTTGGACAAGATGCTGTTTTTTGGAGATTTTATAATGTAAATGTCATTCAGATGAAGGCCCATGCTCACTGGAATGTTCAGCTGTTTTGCACTTCTTCAAATAAGCAAAACAGCTGTAAACCTAGCTTCACTTTCCAATTAAGCTGAATTTATGGCATCCTTACTATACCAGCGCAGAACAAAGCAGCTGGAAACAACAAGTAACTCTGATCCTAGCAATCCCTTTTTAGGGCTTTTTTTGGCATTCTCTAGTCAGGCAAAACTTCGCCAGTTTGCCTAAGATTAGATTTAGAGGCCTCTGAAGATTAAACAAAATTATACCATAGAACACGTGTTCATAAATGCACAGACATTAGATATTTCAGTGCAACATATTTTGAGAAGATTAACCTAATTTAGTAGCCTAGTGAACTCAGAACTCTCATCAATTTCTGTAATTACCAGGATTATATCTTCATTAATTTTACCTTTTTTTTTTTTGTTTGTTTTAAAAACAAAGTAAATTGGCTTTTCTTTCCAAATTAAATTTAATAATTACATTCTGTCACAGTTCTTACACTTGTGAGTTGTATGTGTGGATGGCAAGTCTCCTTTTACCCTTAGCTACAGGAGTCCTGAGGCATGGTCCTGAAATACTTGTATTTTATAAAAGAAGCCACTGATCTCAGTATGTTGACGTACACTTCAATTCCATACAGTTTTTCTTTATTATTGTAAGTACAGAGGATAATTTGAAATAACTTTTACTTTTTTTTTTTTTTTTTTTTTTTTTTTTTCATCTGTTCTGGATTTATCAGTCAGCTGCCTTTAGCAGACCCAAACAACAGAGGCTGCTTGTTTATTCAAGATGGGATTCCCCTTTTTGGTCTCATAGGCTAGACCTGTCCTAAGGAGAGTAATATTGGGCCTGGTTACCAGTTTGAGAGCAACTGTGTCAGCTATGGCTAACCTCTCTTGCACCTGAAAAAAAACAGATGACCTAGTCAATCCTGACCATTGGGATCCAGCCATCCTCTGGATCATGTCCAGAACTGACTGACAGAGTACTTGTTGCCTCATGCCACAGCTGACTATTTACTGCTATTGCATGGCAGTGTTGTGTACCTGCAGCCATGAAACAATGCAGTAACAATTTGTATGGGAACTGCTGAGTCATGGCCTGAACCTCTGATTAATCACCTGAGGTGAGCCTTGAGTCAGCCAGAGGAGCACAGGTGAAGGCAATTCACCTGTGCTGCCGGAAGGGGTGGAGCCAGGCTCCACCCCTCCTGGACCTATTTAAGAGCTGGCTACCACAGGGGAAGGATCTCTTCTGGAGATCCCCTCTTTGGTATCTTCTGGTGAGCTCAACCCAAGGGTAAGCTCTTCCACTTATTCTCTTTTGTGATCGTTGTCTGCTCTGCCTTACTCTCATTGATTGTATTGCGATTGTAACATCTTGATTATACAAAATTATAACATCTTGGTTATACACTTGGCGAGCCAGGCAGGCTGAATATACTGAAATTAACATCATGTCTTTTCTGTGGAATTTCTATAAATGGGTCAAGGGGGAGAACAATACTCCTCTAGAGAAAATGATTCCAGGGCAGATCCCAGGATTTGAGGGATCACCCTATTATGAGTTAGCTGCCATCATTGAAAAATGGGGTCCCTTACGCGTTATGGGCAATCTCTCCCCATATCGCATGGCGGACTATTTTCAAGGACTTGGCAAGGATGTCTTCACTACCAAAGAAAGACAACTGGCTGCCTCCATGGTGGCATGGCCATTATTAAC